TCCCGGAGTTTCTTACTTTTTCCGCAACTGTCGCTGAAGTCAACTCGCAGTTTGGCTCTGGCTCCTGCGCACCATTAATGTGTGGATGTTCATGCGTATTTAGATAAGTGTTTGTCGTTGAGGTTATGTTTTTTGAATCGTAACCCAAATAAAAATTAATGAATGAATTTAAATTTGCTAAAATTACTATTATAAAGAAGTGTATAACGTTTTGAACGACGTGTTTGAATTATCGAAAATAATGGCTGGAAAATGTGGCAAAGATTTGGCATTGTCAATGTTACGAACATTGCCAAGAGTGTGTTTAGGTAATCTTCGAGGCAATCCTGGATCAAGTAAACCTGTAAGAATTGCTCTAATAATAACATATACTTTAATAAACAAAAAATCAAGTTCATTTGCACGTGTAAAAGATAAATTAAAGTTCGACTAGATTGTATCACTGGCTTAGTATTCATTGTGTATCTGGTATTGGTACCAGGTACTTTATTGGTACCAAACATCTGATGTAAACGATGGCATATTGAGCTGGTATAATGTGGTCAAAGAAGACATATCAAATTAAAAATAATATATATACTAAATAGCTTTGTAGTTGGATAAGCACGCATGTAATATTATAGTATTTAGTCTATATAATGAAAATGAGTATGGTATAAACTAATCTATTATTTTGAATTGATATGATAATTGGTTTATAATAATTATTTTGAAAGTCATATTTTTAATAGTCTAAACGTGGCCGAGGGCAACATGGTGGAAATAAGCATGGAGCTGGTAATAAGGGATCCGGTCAGAGGCAAAATTTCTTGCGCATTGGGTATGAAACTGGAAACAATCCATTTTATCTCAGATTTGGATTTGAACCATATTATAAAGGGCATCAGTAAGTTGTACATGTATTAATATTTAAATAAACTTTGTTATTACAATATAGTTTTATATACAGTAAAATTCAAGTCAAAGTTCAAGGTACATTTCTAAAACTTAGAATACTAAATAAAATAATACTGGACACATAAATAGATACAGGTAAAACCACAAACATAAAGCAATGCAGTAAAACTCATATGAAATTGCACTTATGTCGTTTTTATTAATTTCATTATTATAGAAAGAGTTGTCATTAATATAAAATTTAATGTTAATGGTAATATCTTAATTAAAGATGCTTGTACGTATTACAGTTTAAGAAGAGAGTATCCACCTTTATCCTTACATCAATTGCAAATGTTTATTGATACAAACAGGGTAGATCCATCTAAACCTATTGATCTTGTATCTATACTCAACACAGGATTGTATAACTTTAATGTAGACCACAAGCATGCTGGTGTTCATCTTACAGATGAGGTATATTATTTTATTTTGAAATTCAAATAAATTAAATAAAATTTTTTATGTAAGAAGCATGTTGAGTTGCTTAAAATCGATTTTAAGGGAGCTGATTATTTTACTACAAAAGTAAACATAGAAGTTCAATGGGCCAGTGAGCCTGTAATAGCAGCAATTGAAAGAAATGGTGGTACTATTTGCACTGCATATTACGACCCTCACAGTTTATATATATTACACGATGTAAAGAAATTTTTCAACAGAGGTGAACTCTTTGTTCTTTTTTGGCATAAAAACTAAACATTTCAGAATGTCATATTTAAACTATTTTTAATTATTTAGGAACAGCAATACCACGCAGAATGTTACCACCAACAGATTGCTTAGAATATTATTCAAGTGCAGCATCAAGAGGATATTTAGCTAATCCTGAGTTGATTTCTCAAGAACGATTGGTTTTGTCTCAAAAATATGGTTACGTACTTCCAAAGATTGAAGATGATCCAGATTATGAAATGCTTACACAACGTAAAGATCCTAGACAAATATTTTATGGCCTCGAACCTGGTTGGGTCATTAGTCTTAAGGATGAAGCAATTCTTAAACCTAAAGCTGAATATCTTAAAGAATATTATTTAAGTTGAAGTGTTTCTTTGTAGCATACTCGTTTAAAAAAATAAATAAATAATTTGATGAAAAAAGTAATTTGTAAACTTAGGCAAGCTTTATGTTATTTAATAACAAATGCGTTTAAAATTTATCAAAATAAATAAATTCCACAGATTTTTTCTGTAGTGTTCTTTCGTATTGGGTTACTAATTAGAAAAGAAAAATTTAAACGAAATATCTTGTAAATCAAAGCCAAATAATGTTGAATTAAATATTTACAAATTTATTATGTCGAGGAGAGGATAAAATTTTATAACTTAACATAGACCAAATTTACTAGTTGCCCTGATACAGGTTAGTTGTAAAATTTTAAATAAAAAAAACTTTAACTGTACAATTAATTTTAATTTTGTGCATATCTTTCAAAGAGGATGAATTATTCTATCAAAGTTTCCTCTATCTACCCAATTTACAATTTAGTGTTCACTTGTCATAATTTAAATAGTAATTAACAGAATGCTAATTATTTTTTAGTAGACAATGTGAATGAGTTATAAAGAAGTTAGAAAATGGTTTTAAGCATTATTGGAAGAAGTTTTCAAAAAAAGGTATACAATGAAAACTTATAATAGATGATTTTTCTATTAAAATTGTTTTATGTAGGTAATAGTCGCCATTCACTCAAACTTGCTGTAAATAAACTATTCGATCAATCTAAAGTAGGCAAAGTATAAATGTTGATAAGAAGTGTATTAACACAATAGATTGAAAATAAGTCATATAACTTTTACTGCTTCTTATAAACGAGTTTGACCTGGAACTTTTTAAGCAAGGTAATGTGATAGTACGTAATAGTATGTCATTGTAATAGCCAGGATCTAAATTAACCAATTAAAAGGCACCGATTTTAATTGATTTTTTACAGAATGATGATACCATTAACAGGTGCAAGACATTTTTTTAGTAGCAATGACTCAGTTCAACGGAGTGACAAAAATCATCAAAGTATTATTATTCAATATTCATCTTATAAAAAATATATAATATGTAACAGCATTTGTAAATAAATAATTTCTCATAAATTCAGGCCCCGGAAAAGGTCACGTCGGCCCTGGTAACAGCGTCAGTGTAGATTCAGGCAGTGCTGATCACACTGATTTGAAATTATTCATACTCATCGTTACAGTGTAAATACAGTAGAACCTCGTTTATACGAGATACATAAATCAATTCTAGCTATCTAGTGATTTATACCTTTTATTACATGAATTGACCTAAACCATGATCGAGTGTGAACTTCATGGAGGGGATAGCTAGTGGACCTCTATTATCAGAACTACTTGGTTATCGGAACTGTCTTGTCCGCGGACTTGCTCGGATAAGTGAGGTTTTACTGAATAATCGAGTTGAAAAAAATAATGTATAACGATTACCATTGGACATATCGCCAATACAATTATAAATAGAAGCAATTAAAGAGTAAAATGATGTTGGGCAACAGCATTCGATCCTACGATCTTTCGAGTACAAGAACTCCATACTATCCGTATTACGACTATTTCGATAACGGACTAATAACTATAGCATTAATCGCAAGGTATGTTACATTACTTATATATTTAAAATTATCAAGTTATCATACCAAATATTTCTTAATAACCAAGGACCTGTTTACCACTCTGTAAAAGTAAATTAAAATTGGAGGAGAGGGGGACAAGTTGAATGCTTTCTTGTTAGATGTAAACATCTCATTGTCAGTTCAGTATGGTTAATTCCATACGTAGTATACATAACAATAAGTATGAATGCGTATTGAGTAAATAGAATCGGGCAAACTTTGTTGATTCTCGCTTGAAAAGGTTTATCTAACGCGACATCCGTCTACACTTTATTTATCTTTTTTTTTTTTAATATACTTTGGTCAACGTTTTACACTCTCGTGTGAAAGTCCAAGTTTAAGGTGAACACAACCTACATATTTGACATTTCTGACGCGTACAGAAACGGTACATCGAAGTCGGTTCCTCAAAACCTCATTAACGACAGCTACGCGATAGGGTAGTTTAAATTCAGTATTCTTCCGTGACAGGTGTTTCGATTTTCTTCCAGTGTTAAACTTTTCCTGTGACAACAATAAAAAAAAGAAAAAAATGGCATTTCGTGTTGAGTCTGAGAAGAATTATGAATTTATCTGCAAAAGTCTAATTGCTGGTGGTGAGTTAAAATGTTGCTTCTAGTGAAACATAATTTGCTTTTGTTAGTACACAATCAGAGGTGCACATTAATTATATCTTTCATTAATAACTTATTTTTTAAACATGCTTCTTATATTATTTATACACAAAATTTCTTCTTATTATTGAACAATCACTAATGACAGTGTAATTCAGAAAATACAATATATTTTACAGAACTGTTTAACAACTATTATAGATTTTAATGAAATTATTTATTTCGTAGGTGTAGCTGGAATGTGTTCAAAAACAGCAGTGGCTCCCTTAGATAGAATAAAAATATTACTGCAAGCACACAGTGAACACTATAAACACTTAGGTAAGAATGATACTGTCGTGAAAAATGATTAAAAATTACATGATATATGACTAACACTAATTTATTAAACAAGGTGTTTTTTCTGGTCTAAGAGAGATTATCCAACGTGAACAATTTTTTGCTCTCTACAAGGGAAACTTTGCTCAAATGATTCGAATCTTTCCATATGCAGCAACACAGTTTACATCATTTGAATTGTACAAGAAGGTAAATATCGATTATTTCTTACCTATTAAGTTAAAATATTTTAGAAAGTAATACTAAGTTTGTTCTGGGTAAAGTGGTTCCACAGAGTGAAGTAACCGTTATTAATATAAAGACATGCTCATAATTTGAAGGTGAGCCTTAACCATATAGATTTCCTTATGAATTTATGTGTACACACACATATATACATAAATATATTTATAAAAACACAAAAACGTATAATAAATATAGAGGTGTAAAAAAGAATAGAGACCATGGTTAAACAAGATAGATGAAACACATTTGTGTTAAAAAAAGAATTAGTAAACATATGAGATTGCGAGCAAATTAAGTTATATTTAATTTTTACCAGTATTTAGGAGCCTTATTTGGGAAAAACGCACATATAGATAAATTTTTGGCTGGATCTGCTGCTGGTGTTACAGCAGTTACATTAACATATCCACTAGACACCATTAGAGCTAGGCTTGCTTTTCAAGTTACTGGAGAACACATTTACGAAGGAATTATTCATGCGGGTATCACAATTTTCAAGGAGGTACTTGTACTTATTTATATTCTAGCAAGCATTAATAAGAAAAAAAAGTAAATTATATTCAATTCAGTATCTAACATAAAAGTATAAAGTGCAAAATGCAAATAGCATTCAGACTTTGAACCTTTCTGTGGAAGATAAGAAATGTTAGATAATTTATGAATATATCAATAACTTAATAGTATTTTTACTTTCGTTGACATGTTTTCTTTTTTACCAGACTTTTCTTGTGTAACTTTAAAACAATTAATTCAAAAACATTATTTTAAAATTTATATCATACCATATATCTTTCAGGAAGGTGGTCTCAAAGGATTATACAAAGGATTTTGTCCAACTGTTATTGGTATGATCCCATATGCAGGATTTTCGTTTTATTCATTTGAGAAGTTTAAGTACTTGTGCATGAAATATGGATCAAACATTTTTTGTGACAAATGTGATAAAAATACAGGTATGAACAATAATAAATTTTCATAACAAAAATTTCAATATGTACTGTAATATATGTAATAAGTATATTAAATATATAAATGTTTATACATATTCTTCTATAAAGCAATAAATATTCCATTGAACATCTAGTTATACAAATACTTGGATTTTTATACTGTCAATTAAAAAAGAAAAGTTTGTACTATACAATGATATTATATTGAATTAACTATATACTCTTGACTACTATATTGATCATACTTAACAAGAGTAAAATGCTTATATATATTTATAGGTGGTTTAGTTTTAACTGTACCAGCAAGATTATTATGTGGAGGTATTGCAGGTGCCATTGCTCAAAGTTTTTCATATCCATTAGATGTTACTAGAAGACGTATGCAATTATCTATGATGAATCCAGATACGCACAAATATAGGTAACTATGTCTACAAATTAAAAAAATAACTAATTTGTTAAATGACTTATTGTTAAATACTACTGCACTGGACATTTTTTTCTAGCGCTGGCATGTTAAAAACTATAAAACTAATATATAGAGAAAATGGCATTACGAAAGGTCTCTATCGTGGGATGAGCATTAATTATTTGCGAGCTATTCCTATGGTGTCAGTTAGTTTTACAACGTATGAAATCATGAAACAAGTACTCAATTTAGACACGGGAATGAAAGTATAATTTATTTTATATCATAGTGAGTTTTGATATTCCAACTTTACCTATACAGAAGTACAAAGCACATACAACAAAGTGTTAGAATTAACGGAGCCTTGAAATAGATACCCTCGGTTTAATAACAAAGTATAAAGAAAGTGGTTGCTGTTATACGACTAAAACGAGACTGACTGACGAGCCATACCCGCGCGATAACTTAAAAGCGGAAGCTCCGTGATCGTAGCGCTTATTTAAGCGAAAATTATACAGACGTATGTACAGACACGAGAATACATAAAAAAAAAAAGTCAAGTTCTAATACAAAGTGCAGTTTAATCCCAAATAATAAATACCAAATGTTGTACATTTGTAGTGTATATTAATACGCAACACAAGAAATGTTCGTTAACGATGTATAGAAAGAAACTGCAACCGAATATTATTGTATTTAAGAACTGAAAACAAAACTAAAAACTAGCAATTGTAATAGAATTGTATATTTCTATCGATAGTGTTAAATAATAGAAAATTTGAATTTTAGGTAAGGATTAATTTATTATAAACACTTATATCATATATAAGAAATAATATATTTGGTATGGATGTTCCAAAGGAATGTATGTAACAATAATTGTCTTGGGAACGCGGTAATTCCAGGATCATAGAAGGTTTATAAATAAAATATTTTTCTTCAATTATCATGCTCTACTTGGCTCCATCAAGCACTTTCTTATTAATTAAAAATACTGAAAAAAAGACGAATAAATTATTTTGATAGTAGGAGAAAGTATAGTGTATATCAATTTGCAATATGTACATAAAATTCAATAGTAACGAGAACCACTACATCTTAAACACAAGAGTTTCTCATTTATTTATGGGAGGCATGAACATATATATGTAGTTAAGAAATGTCATATAATAATGAATAATTTATGTCGGCGTTTCAATTTGAAGTGTTTGTTTGTTCAATATCTTCTTAATATATGTTTATTTTTGTACATATCTTTGTATTCTTAGAATCGTGTAATGTATAAGTACGATTTCATTCATAAAAATTCACCTATTTCTATGAAAACTTATTTTTAAAGTTTTTATGTTAGTAAACATGTAAATGATTATTTGATAATTAATCTTATGATTAATTATTAGTTTTGCTCATTATATTTCTTGTACTATTGACATTCAGTGTAAAAATGATGTAAGACTCTAAATATGATAACATCTCTTTATTTCTCCAGCTTTGTTTATAATGAGGCGACATAATATCAGTTCATGGCATACTGTTTTCTTTGCTTCAGCATTTTCTGTCTAAATACAGATTTTGCAAACCCGTTTAATGCTTGTAACTTAATATTTCGAAGATATCCGAAGTCTAAAAACAGCGAAGCATGCTGAAAGTTAAAAACCAAATACACACACATAATTCACAGTTCAAAGCATTTGTTCAGGCTAATATAAAACGTTGTAAAAGATATAGAAAGCGTTATTTTGAATTGATATATACAAAATGTAGTAAGCATGTCATATACAATAATTATATACAAGTATAAACTGATCATATTACCCCAAATTTATATACACAACAAACGTGTTTGAGACATTTCGAGTTCTGAATTGATTTTATGCATGTGCATTGGTGATCAATCAATCAATCAGCTTCCGATAAAAGCATATTTTGTTCGATTTATCTTAATTGAAGACAATAAATATTTTATCAAAATCTGCATGTAATCTAAGTTTGATATTCAGTGTCAAAATTGGATTAGAAATAGGAAAAACATAAATGAAAACTTGATAACTCAAAAATAATTAGCTTACAAAGTCTTGTAGCGAATTTAACAGCTAATAAGTTTGTCTCTGGTACTGAAATTTATTCATTATATGAAATACTTTAAGAAGAGAGAATAAATAGAGTGAATACAAAATTAGCTATACAAGTTCTAAGATCTATTACTGATTTTCATGTAAGCCTTATTTCTAATTAACTCATTTCCTTCTATTATAATACTACAATTTTTCTTTTCATTCTATGTAGGAAATTTTATTCTTAGTTTTTTTATAATCAATCATCAATCACTGAATGTGTTTAATATGTGATATAAAACAAAACAAAAAATGCTCAACTCTGCATCATGCAGAAGGGGTTGCTGTATCCATAATATTATGGTTTCTGTGCTATTTTCTTTTAGATTTACAGTCTTAGTAAATTGCTATAGTGTGCATCTATACATTTCACTTTTTCATCTTATTACTTCTACTGTATCGTTTGTTTCATTTGCATATGCTCAAATTACATGCTTACTTCTATGAACATATGTATTTTGCAAATTCATCCGATGCTCATGTATACAATGTTTGTGTACTGATGAATATGAATGATTTGACACAACACAAGAAGTTTGTTTGACTTGCATTACACATGTTTATTTATCAAAAGCATCATTTTATACCTATTAATTAGTAAAAAGGTAAATTGGTAGGATCATGAGCAATTAATTTCCAATTTAATGATCGTGAATGCATGAATTCATTTCGTATAAAGTGTGTGTATTTCAGTTAGGAATTTTTTTATAGGATTGATGCAAAAGTTTTGCTATTTCCTTACAAATCACAAGATAGTCGTGCGCTTAAATTCATATGTATAAAGATTTAGAAACTATACCTGTTCCAATAGGTTCAGAAAATAAAAACCTTTAGAAATAGAATAAATATTATAGGATAGACACAATTGACCAGCTTGAAGTTTTATTTATTATGTTACTACGATTAGAAAAATGTGATTTATAAAAATTATGTTTTGATGCGCTTAATAAAACAACTTAAAAATAGCGAAATTATTAGGTACTATGATTCTAATGAATCATTATGTGTAATACTATATTACAATCAATTAAAAAATCCACTAAAGAACTTATTAAATTGCTTATATGGCACAACTTGTATATGCCAAATTTACTGTTGCATCAACCCTTTTTATATTTTCTTGAGGCGGAACATTTCACGCTCCATTCGTATTAATAATTACGTGACACTCTCTTAAATATAAACTATGATCATTTTTGGTATGCTTATTGAAACCTTAAACAACATTATTTCTATTCAGTTTATGTAACAAATAATTTTGTTTGTATAAACAGTTTTAATAAATTAATATTTGTTCAAGGTTTCAGAACAGTACCATGCACATATTTTTGTTCGCACTACTTATTGCGTTCAATCCATGTATTATGTTCATTTCTTTTTTTTTTCTTGATAATAAAAATACAAGCAGTACAATGAAAGTTATAGAACTCAATGCTATATGTGAATTTTAATTGATACGCGTGTACATTATTGTTTGTTTCTTTCTTTTATGTATACAATTAATGTTGTGTCTAGATGTATGGTGTTGGACACACGCCAAATATGCGGATGTGTGTTTTGTCTCTCTGCGAGACATCACAAAGTGAATCATGATATAATACTTGAGACTATAATATGTTGTGTAAGGATAGTTGGAACCTCACACTTTTATTGATGTTCTATCCATAAATTATGTTCAGGAGCATTGTTATAAAGCCTGAATCATTTCCATACCCCTACCTTAATATTTAAATCTGGGGTTTGACTCTTTACAAGAAATAGTCTGGTGTCCGCCTAGTAACATGTGGTTCTCCACGCCTTGGAGCTGGGTCAAATTGAAGGCTGAAAAATTGAAAAATAAAAAACAAATTAAGATTATATATTTAATTATTTTGAAATTGTTACGTAATTTTTCATACATTTATTTGAAACTTACAATGAATATTTTAAAGCGTCATCTAATTCCATGATTGCAGCTTGATTTCCACAGCGATAACAATAATTAGGTGCTGAGAATATAGTTACAACGTTACGATCATGACACCTGTAACAAGAAATATACATGTGAGATAAAACAATATGCGATTATTGCATGAATGTTATTATAGAATATAATACATGAGGAATAAATACTAATACAAAGGGAATCTATAAATGAACAATGTTAATAAATATACCAATTGTAACCCTCCATAACTAATTGATGTGCTCGTGATACTAATGTCAGGCCATTAGAATGATTAAAAGTTTCTGAAATATCTTGTCCAAAAGTATATCCTGCCCCACGAGGAGAAATACCCCACCCTCCTCTATCATCTGGGTCTGACCATAAAAGGTCACACATTGGACCCTTAAAAAAACACAATCAAATGTTATTTTAAATTTCATAATTTTACTTGTAATCTTATGAATCCAAGCATGAACACCAACCTCATGTGGTACCTCTTGAAGACGATCTAGGGCACGTATATGATCTAATGTATCAATTGATGGTGATAAACCACCATGCAGACAAAATATTTGACCATCTACTAGTGCAGTCAATGGTAAATAATCAAACAGGTCCGTGAAGAATTTCCACACATTGGCATTACCATATTTACGTAAACATTCATCATAAAATCCATATACCTGTGTGATTTGTCTCGACTCATGATTACCTCGTAAAATTGTTATTCTTTCCCTATATCTGACCTATAGAGTTGAGATTATTTTGTTAATTGATATTTGATTTAATATATTTAATACTTTTATATAAATAATAAAATATTTGGGCTTCGTTAAATTTGATCAATTATCTTTGTCTATAATCTTACCTTGAGTGCAACAAGCAAGGTAACAGTTTCAACAGAGTAATAACCACGATCTACATAGTCTCCCATAAAAAGATAATTTGTATCTGGAGATTTGCCTCCTATTCTGAACAATTCCATTAAATCATGGAACTGTCCATGTACATCTCCACATACTGTCACAGGGCATTTTACTTCTTGTACATTAGACTCTTTAGCTAAGATTTCTTTTGCCTATAAAAATACATTGAATCTTACAATATATGGTGTTTTGAGTATAACATATGCTTTTAACTTAATCCATAAAATAAATACATACAAATATGTAAAATCATATAAAGAATCTTACAATAAAATGACCCAACAGATTAGGCAAAGATATATGTATAATGATAGCGATCAAACCTTGTCATGACAGGAGCTATATATCATCTATTAGAAATACTAAAGAGCCACATTTTCTACTAGATTTGTATCTTACATCTATACTGTAGTAGATATATTTAGAATACTGTAGTAGATTTATATTTGTGTATAAAGAAAAATTATCTTTTTGAAAAAATTGGTTACTAATCAATTCTTTTCTTTATATATATATAGTTAAAATTTAGTTAATATAATTAATATAGACAGTTCAAAATTTCATTCAAAATGGATAAATTATATTCTATATTAATTATGCAATCCTAAAATCCTTTAGGTATTGATTTTGTCAATTGTGAATGATACATCATAGTTTTAACGAACTTCAGAAGTAATTGAATCAAAATAGTTTGCATTTATAATTAATTCAATAAACCACTTGCTTCCACAATTAATTATGACCAATCCCAAGGCTCAATCACTCTAGGAGACAAAACTGTAAATGCTCATTGATAGAACCAAATTAAATTCAGAAATAATTATATAAACACCATAGTATATAATACAGTCAGCAAACTTAATCTTTAAATTGAAATAAACAATCTGATTGCTATTGTTTCTGCTAGCAAGAATAATTAGAAACATAATTGTACTAATTAATAATTTATGTTAACTGTATGGAAAACATACTTACAAATGGTGTTAATGTTAAATGGAAAATACAAAACAAATACAAATTGATGATTTAAAGATGAAGTTATTTTTTTACACAATAAAGTATTGTATTGACTATATAAGTGAAATGATTATCATTGTGGTATTTCTTTCATCTACATCAGGAAATATTTATAAATACATAGATGACATCACTATTTGTATTGGTATCTATTGGAATTGATATCATTTTGTGTAGGAAATCATTATCTAGTTTAGATTGTAATTACGAAGTATTGGAATAATTTTGAATTTTCAACTTCAATTTGCAAAACTTATACAAGTGGTAAAAAGAAACAATCAAACGAATGAAACATAGATTTGTACAAAAATACCAAGTAACAATAGTATACTGATATTTTCAAATTATACTTGAATAACCCTTAAAGAAATAAAGGTATCAAAAATTTATTACTAGTATATATACACATACACATTTGTTCTTTTACAATCCATTTCTTCCATATAATTTGTAACTTCACAAATACATTTGTTATAACTCGAAACAAAATACCATTCTGTTTTGTACATCAAAACCACAAAGGAAACTAACAAGTGTTAGTTCTATGTTTTAGATCTAAAATTCTTGTGAAGTGTGTTTAATATCACCAGCATTTATAAATTTTATGTACATTGTATTCGTAAACATGTATATTATGGTGTACATTTTAAGAAGTTACATAAATGTCGTATTGGTCAGGTGAAAACCAGAAAATTACCGGTATTGATATCGGTTTTGGTATATCTTCGGATTCTTACTTTTTACAACTATAAACGTTTCGGTACGATTAATCCAAAAAATGACGAATATCGAAATAATTTCGGTTTTAAAAAATCCTTTTGTAGAAGCATCGAAACGTATAAACCAAGGTGCAATCTATATGCCAAAAGAAACCCTATTCAATAAGTAACAAAAATAGAATTGTTGGCTGATTCAACGAGCCAGTCAATTTCATAGGCGCTGAACAAGTTGCAGTGGAAGCTTGAACAGCAGTGAATACGGTTGTTGAGCGTCCGAACGCAATCGGGACACGAATTTTTACCGAAATCTGAAGTACAGCGAAATTGTGCAATGTACAAGGATTGATAGATAAAACAATGTATTCAAACTGATTATAATGAAATTTTGTAATGACACGTCAAACCATGGTCAGTGTTATCGCAAAATATCAGTAAACGAACGTAATACAGCAAACGAGAATTAATCGCGTGATACGTAAATGAAATTTTCTGATTAATCAGTTGCATAGAAATCGACAAGGAAGGAATTAAAGACGGATCGCGTACCTTCTCGCACAGAGTTTTCACTTGGCTTTCTGTTAGTTGTTGGCAGTCATTTAATTGTTCTATCCACTGGTCAAGTTCTTTCAACGACGCTTTTTCCTCCATCGTACGAATCTACGTAAAGTCCAAGAATATCCCGCGCTCTTAGCACGTGTAATAAAAGTAAAGCGAGTCCGTCTCGTAAACTAAATCATTCGGTTTTACTGGAAAAGCTTCTTAACACAAATATCTCGATCAAGCACACACTCACAAAATGGCCGATCGCGAGTACTGACGGTGACGTCATACTCAATTCATGCGTGCTTCACTAACTATAACCCGGATTACCATATCGACCAATCACCACTTGCGTTTATCGCACGTTGTCCAATAACGGACAGACTTTACTGTTGCGCGCCTGTCACGATACTGTACACTCTTATTCCTTAATTTTTGCCGCGTAAGGGGAAAGTCACTAATGCCGGTTACCCCTTCTCTTTCTTGGTACGGAACTCCGTCTCGCGCGCTAAGACGCTTGACGCCTGCGCACAAGCCATTATTCTATCGAAAAGACGTTAACCTAACGTTACGAAACACTTAACCTACAACTGCTGATGAAAGTATTCGAACGATTTCAGATTAAACATTTAATATTTAAATTAATGAAATTATAATATGATTTTCAACGAATTTTCATTAACAATAATATACAAGTGTTAGGAGTGTACATGTTAAGCTCGAACAAAATCAAGTAGTGTAAACAATGTTTTCACACCATTCCTTGGAAACATTTATGAACAATCTCCTCTTTTTCCCATATTGTGTTGTGTGCTTACAACACAAATGTATACAATTAGTATGTTTATACTAATATAGTATAACAAATAATGTGGATAGGTGATAGCAATAATACATTTTTGTAGAATGTACATATTTAAGATTACCTGCACTGCTAGTGCACTGGCTCTTTTAGCCTGTGTCAATATAGTTTTATTTAACTGTAGTCAATGAAATATTATTTTCTACTTTCAAATCATATTACAGAAACCATAAAAATTAATCTGTGTTTTTACGTACAGTTCATGAAGAATGTTTGATTACTAGACTATTAGTAGCTACTTTAATGTATATTTATAAAGTCACCTTGCTTCTAAGACTGACAAAATAGTTTCAAATTATTGATAAAATGATTTATTTTATTCTGTTTATTTGTATAAAAAGTTAACTGATTCACATTGCAATAACCAAATAACCAATTTTTTATAAAGTACAGTAGAACTCTATATATCTTAACTTACGACATCACAATATTGGGTTATTCAAACACATTACTGAACTCTTATTGTTTAAATACGGTTCAAACGATATATCGCTTCTGTGAATTGAACTTGATTGTCACCAGACTAATTTGGATAAATAGAGTTCTATTATAGTTAACAAATATGTGTTTATATAATCTTAGTATATTTCATGTATACAAGGATGAGCATAAAATTACATACCAGTATTTGAAATTATGTAATGTGTGTATGTAGCATTGTATGAAATCAATCATAAAAATATTTATAGTAATTTATAAAAATTTTACTGTAATACTGAAATTTAAAATGATTGTATTGTATATTCCATAATGAGTGTTGCATATAGAAACTAAAATATTTTAGTCAAAAGTATATGAATGTCTTTGCAGAAGCATTATTAAATTATCAACGTATTATCATATGAAGAGTCTTATAGCGTTTCATTTAAGGCAAAAATAGGAATCTAATATTGTTTTAATTTTTATATTTTTGTTAGTTAAATCGTAAAACTTGTTGGATATTTCTTAAATTTTTACATTTATAGTTACTTGAAAGAACAAAAATATATTTATAACCTTAAAATTCTTAAAGCAATTTGCTGCAGGAAAATAAGTTGAAAAAATAGTAGAATCTATAATTATGCAAATACATTAAAGTGTATTATCTTTTCTTTACAAATTTAGAGTTTGTAACAAAATATTGAAATAATTATTCTTAAGGATTGATATAATCTTTCTCAAATGTATTTCTTAATCATTGAAAGTAGTAAGTAACTTTAATGAATTAATAATATTGACAAGGCTATTAATGAAATGTAAAATGCAAATAGGAGAAATGCACTTCTTGCATAAAGAAAACTAATTATGTCATACCTTTTGTTAATAAAGCTGAAGTATATTCTCTGATGTTACCTTTTTGTTGAAAATAATCTTTTCAAATAATACTAAGAGGTAAATGACAAAGTCAGTAGACACGGTTTAAATAATTATCATTACAAGATGATCTAATTTGGAGTATTGTATAATTCATCTGCAAAGTGTTGCATCTAATCGAACAAGCCATGGCAACAACAATTTTATTTTTGTTCTATAATTTAGATCTGTGGCAACAGGATTATGTTCTAAGTAAACAGTTTGTAATTTTTTATTGGCTGTTAAATTTTCTATAGTTCCCCAATCTTCAATCATGTTATTATTTATCTATAACAGATATTAAACACGATAACGTATTGACATAAAATTACAATGAAACTTTAAAAAGCAAAATAGGATATTATTCTTACCCAAAAGTCTTCTAAATCCTCAAGATGGTCAATATTTTGAATTTTTTTGATTTTGTTGTTAGCCAAATCCAGTGTAGTTAGTCTTGGACAGTTTGTTAGCCCTTCTATGCTCATTATCCCATTTTCAGATAGATACAACTGATCCAGTTTCTGTAATTCTTCTAAATTTTCTATTTTTGTAATGCGATTACTTTGTAAACTTAATAACTGGAGATTTTGTAAACATCCTAAGTTTTCAATCTTTGTAATTTTATTTTTACCAAGGAACAGATATGTTAGATTCTCAAGACCTTCAAGATTGACGATCTCTCGTATTTTATTGTCACCTAACTCGAGAGTTGTAAGATTCTTCAGATGCGATATATTTTCAATGCACTGAATTTTATTCGACGACAGGATCAACTTTTGCAGATTCATTAAATTTTCTAATCCTTCTATCTTTTTAATACGATTAAAAGATATATCTAAAACTCTGAAAATGTAATTGTTCTGTATTAAATTTCATTTATATTAAAAAAGTGCAAAATGACAATTACTGTATAACTACATACTCCAAATTTACAAGGGCATTTAAATTTTCTATGGTAACAATCTGATTATCCCTTAATTCTAATTCAACCAAAGTTGTAAGGGTATCAAGATTCTCAATTTTCTTGATCAAGTTCCATGTAAAACATAATTTACGTATTTTCCTCAATGGTTCTAAGTTTTCTAATTTCGTTATTCTTGAATGATGGAAATCTAGCTCCTAAAATATAAATAAAATTAAGTATAAACATGGAAAACAAAAGACAATTAGTATTAAAAGAATTAAAACTAAGACAAACTTCACTATCAGGATCTATGATCAAATCTTCGTTTTCATCATTTTCGTTTTTCTCCTCGACGTCAATCGAATCTTCGTGTTTATTTTCTAAAACAGCAAAAATTATTTGGAAAATAGATGCAGCTATACATTTCCGACATTTCCATTATACATTACAATAAATAATGATTGTACCATTGTGTGCCATTATTACTCAATGCGATTAACAATGATTCTGAAAATCTAATTAAAGGTTCCAACTAAAGACTATACAAAATTTTGATTTTATTGACTCTTACAAATAGAATGTAAAATCTAGTAGAAACCACTGCACTAGTGGTACAAACAGTTTCCAATTGTCTAAACTTCGCACTGCGGTAAGTTTTACAATGTCCTGCATATATATGAATAATTATATTTCGTAATATCAACTAACAATAAGTTATATACTCCATGCAACTTTAGTTTTACGATAAAGGGTAGTCCACGTAAAATCTTTCCCAAGTTTTTCCATCTAGAAACTTTAGGATACTATGGAAAGTTTGTTTATATTTTGTCGCTTTCCGCAAAAAGTAAACAATTTTATGTTAATAACAATATTAATATAAAAAGTTCTTATCGTACGATAAGAATTTTGTATAATATTCGTTCAGTAAGAATTGTCATGAAGTATAAATTTCGTATTATCGATTTGACTATGTAAGGTCATTATTGTTATTATCATCAATTTTAGGTGAAAATTGTTTTAAACAACATCATTATAGAAAGAGAATAAATTTTTAGGATTTATTTTGTCGAGAAAAACGAGATCAACAAACATTAGAACCTAAATATATGTAATCTAAAGAAATGAGCTAGGGGAATTCTAAGTAATATTTCATTAGTAATTTTATTTTTATATTTACAAATAAAGGAGTTATAACAATGTAAAATCATGAAATTTGATATTAATGAGAGTTATAATAAGAGAAAATGTACGTAAGACGCGTGATCGAGAAAATTAAAAAGAAAAAAATTCAAAAATTTCGCGTAAGTATTTCATCTATGAGTATTCCCGTTTATGTATCATTGTCGCATCCGTGACTCGGATTAGTAGCCAGTCTAGTGAAGATGGCTGAAAACAATGGCAATGGTTATTGAGCTAACTTTGCGTTCTCCTGATACTTGTCAACAAAGAAGTTATCATTAATTAAAAAGTAACTGAAGCATTCATCATAGTCACACGTGAGTACAGTTCCTCTTCTTTTTACCCTTGCTAATCGAAATTTTATTCTTCTCATTTAATATCTTTGGCATTTAGCGTTCGTACGATACAGCGATCGTGCTTTTCATGTTTTACTGCTGTCATCTATATTCTGATTAGGGAGAATATTTCAAACTTATTTCAACGTGTATAAAAATTGTTTTCTTACAATCATCATTCTATATAGATGTGCCTTTGAAAATTACGATATCTCGTAAATGTTTGCGTCCTTCTGCGATGCAGTAGCTTGGAAAACTATTTTAAAGGAAATTATAGTTTAATGTACCATAGAGAGGTTCGTTACTTGTCTAAATAAATACTATCGTTTGATCTATGGTCACTGTATCCGACGAACAAAATTGATGTTCAGATAATATTAATAACATTTCCGCGATGTGCGATTTCGTATAAAATACCACTACAATTTATAACGTATTTTTTTTATTGTTATTCGAATTATTTCAGTTTCTATCATACGAATTATCATTTTGTATTAGGATTATTGTTTTCATTTAGTTATTACTTTCTGTACACCTTTCACTTTTAAATGGATCTATATGCAAACACGGAATATGTTATTATTAACTAAAAATTGCCAATTATAAATATAGAACATGAAACTATTATTTACCATGCATCATTTAACATTAAATTGTCATGGTTTAAAAATTAATAGTTTTCTAGAACTGACAAACTATTTTTATTAATATTAATGTAACGCTTAAGTTAAAAATTTGGGCAGCAATAAAATGTTATACAAGATAAATTGTTGTTATCTAAAATATGTAAATACTGACAAGGCAAAAACCTTGGTCAAAATATAGAACTTTTATATTCAAGAATTATATTTAATTTATAAACCAAATGAGTCCATATTACATTGTACTTAATATCAGTTTCTAATGCAAATTTAACTTTCCTATGTAATATTATGTAAAGATAGAAAACAATATCTTTAGTGCTATCATTATTTATTTCAGGTATATATTATGGCAACTGCTATTCAAAAGAATGGCATGAAACCTTTAACAAACACAATAAATCATGTAGAGGATGTAAATAATTTAAACAATACGGGCATATGTAAAGAAGAGAAAGATGAAAGACTGTTCGATGGGCAAATCCAATCTTATGTGGACCCTCCTGAACAGGAGCCTCGCGAGCTGGATATTGTTATTAATAACGTAGTTTGCAGCTTCAGCGTTAGGTGTCACTTAAATTTACGAGAAATTGCGCTTAATGGATCTAATGTGGAATATAGGAGGGAGAATGGGGTACGTTTCAAAGCAATCTTGTTTTCTTGTAACAAATTATATTTGTGTAACATGTTTAGTGATGTATTGATCCTAAATATATCTGTATGTTTTACTGATTTATATTTGATGTATTTTTAATTGGAAGTTCAAAGTTTTTGTATGAAAAATTCAAAATTATGGTGCCTAAATTCGTAAGATATTTAAGTTATCAGTAGGAAATATTATACTTGGAAATGGAAAATATTGGTTGTTGGTTACCAAACTATTTAGCTAATTTTCTCTTCTATCTCTCATCTGTTTGCATTATCCCACAATTGATTTGAAAGATATAGAGTAGAAATTTGCAGGTATATGTTCTATGCTCCTTGGATAGGGAAGCATGGCATCAAAAACTGGTGAAAATTATACTTTGTATAATTTATACTTGGAAAAGTAACTTTAAGTGGCCAATATTTTTTAATGCTAATATAATATACATATAGTAACAAAGAAGAGAAGAAGACAATAAGTAAAGGAAAAACAGAGTGATATTCCTTGATATAAATAATTTAAATACTTCTCATATAGAATTTTTTATTCTTTATAATTACCAGTAAGAAATTATAATTATTTTTTAAGAAATAAATACAGTTGTTTTTGATTCTGTTCCCACTTTTTAAATCATGTACTATGCGATAATCAAATATAGACATCAAAATAAAAATATCAAAGAATAGCATATTTTCCAATCAATAACAATTGCAATTTAATTTTTAAAATCAATAGATCCATTTTTTTGTTATAAAGATGACCATGTGTTTTTTCAATGTCATTCTGATCTTCGTGATGTATAAAGATATAAAAAGATGTTATACATAAAATGTTACTTTACTTTTAAATTGGATAAAGTAATTTGGTTTCAACGAACAGCATAAAATGGTAGTTATGGATGTTTTTCGTACATGTACACATGTTGTAGATGATAACAATGAAATTGAGGAGACCTTATACTACTGCTTCTATATGGTCTTCTGGTAAAGTAACATGTACTGGTGCAACTAGTGAAGTTCAAGCAAAGATCGCAGCTCGCCGATTTGCTCGTTCACTTCAGAAACTCGGATTCAAAGTGCGATTTAATAATTATAGAGTGGTCAATGTATTAGGTACATGTTGTATGCCATTCGCCATCAAGATAACGTCATTTTCTGTCTATCACAAAGAAAATGCAGAGTAAGTATGTTTAACTGCATCTATATGTACATACGAATATATATATAAGTATATAACTATGAAACTATATAACTATGAAACTATATAACTTAATAAAATTACTATAAAGGGATTCCTTTATACTTTTCTACAACTGTTTGCTTAGATTTGACAAAAATTATTAACAATGTTTATTATGCATAGTTACGAGCCAGAATTACATCCTGGTGTTACATACAAGTTAAAAGAACCAAAAGCCACATTGAAGATATTTTCTACAGGCAGTGTTACTGTAACTGGTTTGTATTGCTAGTCAATTCAAATATGTATAGTTTTATTAAAATAAAAACTATAAAAGGACACGATTTTATCATATCTAATAAAATGTAATTGATGTTGCAGCTCCTAATGTTGCTGCTGTCCAAGCAGCAATTGAATACATTTATCCACTAGTCTATGAGTTTCGAAAAGAAAGAACAGCAGAAGATGAACTTGCCTTGACAACAAAAAAGCGTAGATTGGGGATAAGTAAAAGAAACAATGAAGAGTTCCTAAATGACTCAGATTATGTATACGAAGCCATGTTTTCTGATGAAGAAGATGAAGGTGAAGGGGGTGAGAGTGATGCCAGTTGGGACTGATCTGTTTACTTTGCTACTCTTCTGTTAATTGTGAAACTGTTATATCTTGTTCTTTGAAAAATAGATATGCACTGCTCTGTGTACAAAAGTGTTATCATAAAGAGTGAAGTGAAGCATTCGTTTTCTAGTAGTGAAAAGACAATGTGTGAGTGCCAGAGACAAATATGCACGTATGCGTGTTTTAATTATGGTTACATTAATAACAAATCAAACTGAATTCCAGCATCAAACAATATTGTCATAATTTACTTTCATCAATAATATACATATGTACATAGATGCATACACGTGCATACATCTATGTATGCATCTATGTACATATAAGTATTGAACATAAAAACAATGTTGTACACATAATCGTTTTGTTTTAGTGAACAATTTTTCAATGTTCATTTAAAATTTATCAGGTTTTTTTTGTTTTTGTTTTTGAGAAAATTCAGTACATTTAAGTGATTAGAAACGGTTCTAAGAAAGGCTTGTTTGTAAGTATACTCCTCTACATTTAGGTAACGAAATAATACATGCTTCTTAAGTTTTTAATTATCTATAATCAACTGATTATGTACTGAAGTATTGTGGCGGTAATCAAACGCATGTATATTTTACTGTTCTCTGTTCTACTTCTTTCTACTCATAGATGTAATCTAATTTTTGCTTAATTAACATACTGTGCCAAAGATGGATGTTCAAAATTTGAGGCAAAGTGATCAAAGTGACATCTAAGAAGCTGCAAATTTTGTTCATTATAATAATTAGCTTTTTTTATTGCAATGACACGTTTCAATGAATATGAAAATATTTTACAATAATTTTTTTTTTTAAGTTTCTATATAAATAC